GCAGCGTGGTGAGGAGGCAGATGTTTCATTATGGAGAGCTGTGTGATAATGACACTGTTCTTTTCTTTACCATATAAAGACACTTTGAGTCTGCAGGGCAGCTCTTATACTTCACTGATGGTCCACAGAACTGTAGAGGAACATCAGGCTTCATGATCAAACACAGTTTTAAATCACGTCATCTCTTCAGTCCATAATGATCGCTCGGTCGCTCTCTGCTGAGCGCAGGATGACCTCTCTGCTGCGAGGTCCAGATAATGTTCTTTTATCATCATATAATGTTTTTTTTTAAAGGATGAGTTAGGTGAACCAGGGTCGGCTATTTTAAAGAAATATGACATTAAGTTACCGTAAATACTGCATGGACAACTTTGGTTTCTCGATGCCTTTAACTGAGATAAATTAGGTTTGAGGGAATGTATTCCAATCTGCAGAGAAACATTTTGACGTCTCTTAAAGATTGATTATGTCGATGTGTATTAAAAAAGAGAGCAGAGAAGGTGCCGCTACACAGTTTACAGGTGTTGCAGTTTTTGGTAATTAAGTTTTGCTCTGGTATCCAAACAGGTTCACGTTTAAATTCTGGTATAATGACAGCCACAGGAGAATATGAAATGATAACAAGAACCCAGACACATAATACTCCATACGAAGAACACATTAATGTGAACACACAATTTATGATTAAATAACAAGGTGAAGTGATAAGAGTCAAAGTTACTGTAAAGGTAGATTTAAGGTGCTAAAGTCATTCAATTGCACAGTCCTTTAGAGGTTTTGTCCAGGTGTGATAGTTGTGTAGAAAACGATGTAGTGAAGTTGTTCTGCAGAAACACTGATGCCGTCTGATGCTGTTGCTCATGAAACATGAGATCTTGGACTCAGTGTTCAAATGCAGATTCAGCTTGAACTGAACAGTGTTGTCAACATAGCAACCGGTCAGGATGAAGCGAGGTGGAATGAAGAGCAGCACCAGCTCAGCTCTGAAAGCCATAATCAGACTTTTAGTTCGCACAAAGACCTTTCTCTTCACTTGCTGAAAATACTTCATGATATGCCACTCCATCCTCAACAGGTGAAAGGTCAGTACACCTCTATCTTACCATGCACAGATAACCCTGTGTATGTGACTGAGCTGTGAGTTTCATAATAGAACATATTCCCACTGCAGCCTTGTTGCCGTGACGATTGAACCGTTACGAGACAATAAGCGTGGAACTCGAAGAGAAAGTAAACGTTAGTGTTTGTAAAGTTGGAATAGTTCCTGCTAGTTCTACCAAAGGCTTATAAAAATGTGATTAAGGATGGTGTCACACTAGAGACCCAGATATTAGTATGCTTGACCCCGAAGTCCAGTTCATTTGCTCAGTGTGAACACAAACGTACCGTACTGGGGTACCGTGCCAGAGTCCGCTTGAGTACGGTCCGTGGGAGTTGTGAACGCAAACGTGCTCAAACAAGGAAGTGGACCGCTATGTGATTTAATTCTGAACGGCTCCTGTCACCTTTAAAACCATCTTATCTGCGCAGCACAGGTCCATTTTGTTCTCTGAGCTGCACTGTAGATGTCGAGGTAGGAAGAGGGTCGTTGTTGGAGTCCCAGAAATAACAAACACATCTTCAGTTAGCAGGACGGAGTCAGCCTGCGATTGGTTACCATGTTGGCGGATTTGCATTCTGCCACCTGCTGTACCTTCCTGTGAACATGCTCAATCTTATGTGAAGGCAGATCAGCGAGGGAGAGGGGGAGGGGGGAGCAATCGTGCTGGGATACAGTGCGAAGAAATGGTGGAGCCCGTTGCAGTTTACATGAGGTGACAGGCGGTGGCGGAGTACACCCTGGAATGGACTGGTCACCGGTCAATCAAAGGACTGACATGTAGAGACTAACAACCACTAAAACCACGAGCAGTTTAGCCCCTTATTGTCTTTGTCCTGTTGGAGGAAGTCGGAGTTCCAAGCATGCTCGAGGAGAACGTGCAAACTCCACACAGAAAGCTCCTGTCCCACCCATTCAAACCACTGACCTTCCTTCTGTGACAGGACAGTGCTAACCTGCTCCACTGTATACCCCCCGTCACAAATCAAACCTACATGCACATGAGTCTGAAACTTAATCCACATCCAGGCCACCATATGTTTCATTCATCTCTACGTGCATTAGCAGAACACATTTAAATCCTGTCTGCCAATAAATCCATATAATCCACCGTCTCCCCTTGTGAAACATTTTTTTACAATGTGATTTTAACAGTCTGTTGTTCCCATCTTTCAAAAGGTCTCAATCCATTTCAAATAAAGGTTGATTTTGTGGCCCGGCTCTGTTGAACATTAGCTCACAAACGTGAATGTCAATGCCTTAAATGTCAAGCCCCCGCAACGATATCGGGGAATAAAACGACCAAGAGACAAAGGGGACATTTGGCAGGTTGAGAAGACGGGTAGGAAAATCAGAGAATATGCGTTTAATGGGTCAAAAATATGTCCTCTTCGTAAATATGTTTATGTTAATACATCTGCAGGACTAATTCACTTTGAACGACTCAGAAACAGCCGAGTGTCTCCGGCTCAATCAGCCTCATTTACGCTCCATTAAACCTGGAGTCCTAAACGTGTGCAGCTGTTAACGGGACAGGTGTTGTGATGTGTGTGTGTGTTTTGTTGTTTTGCAGTGTGTGTCGCCCCGCTGTGTGCTGCTGCTGCTGCTGCTGTTCGGGGAATGCTCGGCGGACGCGGAGGCGAGGTGTGAACACGATGAGCAGCCTGCAGGACAAATGGGTCACACTGACCCCAGCTGAATTCGCCCTGCTGCAGGAGTACACTCAGTGTGAGTAAACAGGCTTTCTGTGTCTGTGAGGAGAAGGGTTTGTGGAAGGTGTGTGTAATGATGTTACTCCTCGAGAGTCATTTACCAGGAGGGCTTAACAGTCGTGCTCTCTCTGGCAGCCATTACAGTCACTCAACACCAAAGTTAAACTTTTAATATAACTTCTAATTCTTCAGCTGGTTATCCTCAGAGAAAGAATGATTGCTGTCTGAGATGTTTTGATTTACTCGCTCTGCTCTAATAAGTGATGGTTTTAACCAAGCGGCAAACTTGTTGAAAAATGTAGCCAATGAGGAAGTGTAAAATCCCGCAGTTCCTCGAGTGTCCACTGGAGGGTGGCTCCAGGAACACCGGAAGTCACACACACACCCATTCTAAAAAAGCCTGTTTATACAGCAGAAATAAACATGTTTACAGACTGGTACAAAAAATAAATAGGTCTTATTAGTTATTGTCATCAATGGAACAGACAGTACGGGGGGGGGGGGGATTTTTTTTTTTTAAGGGCTCTGTTTTGATTTTAAAAACGATACCTGTTACCCATAGTTAGGGGTGTAGCTGACATGATTGACAGGTGTGCGCGATATAACGGTTTGTCAAGGGGCTTAAAACCCGCCTCAGCTCCAGCTCTCAGCCTGTCGTTAGGTTGACTGGAAGTTAGGCTGAGACAGGATTTCCAACATTGCGGCTGCTGCTGATGAGCCTCTGGAGCCCCCTGCAGGAACAGATGGCTGACGTCACTCAGGCTTCATCCATTAATATTTACAGTCTATGGTTTTAACCAGCAGCAGGAGAGAAATCTGTGGACCCTTTCTTTTTTGCGTTACTGTAACGGCGTCATGTCTTAAGTTACTTTATGGTTCAACAAGTTTTCATTCCCTTTTTATTTCAACATATACAAAATATATACATCCCCATCAGCGAGTATTGCCTGTTCGAGAATCAGTGAAACCACAACTCTTCAAACTCTGAACATAGCCTGGTCCCGAACAGTTAGGGAGCGCAGTGGAAGTTGCCATGGTGATCTAGCCAGGTTTATATTGAGCCGGCTTCCTGACACTGACACTGAAACTCAAACAGACCTGTCTAATTGATTTCTGGAGCTCTGTAGTGACCCTTTCTGGTTAGAAAGCAAAACAGGGGCGCCAGATGGCCTAGCGGTTATGACACACGCCTTTTGTACACAGGCATTAGTCGTGGGATTCGAATCCCGGACTCTGCCCTTTGCTGCATGTTATCCAATGCTTTCTCCCCGAACACTTCAGCTGTCTTATCTCATAGTATGTCACAAAATGTTGGAGTTTTCCTCTCCTGATCACTGCATGCCCGTCTTGTCTTTTCCCTCTCAAAAAGGAAAGTTTCATGAGTTTTGACCTGATGCAAATCACCCCGTCAGTGTTTTAATGAAGGTCTTATTGTGGTCAGATATCTATCAGTGTTCCTCCTCACAGACGGAGACGTGCTCTCCCTGATAACATCAAATCACCGGGCAGAGCGTTCCTCTGTATATCTGCTGTAAACGGCGCTTTGATTCCTCCCTCCTCTTTGGTAAATCTGAGACATCTCTGGTGTTTAATGACAAAGACTCTGATATAGTAAAAGCCGCCCGCGCTGCGTGTTCATCATGCTGATGTAGAAAGCTTTGAGCCGCTCGAGCGTTTAATCTGTTTGGTGGCGTTTCAGCTCTGAATGATTCATTTCTCAGAACGACTCACGGCTCCTCACTCCCGGCAGACCGAGCTCTGCCTAGAGTTTATGTTACGCTCCGAGATGTTGACACATTTCTTCTATTTTTATTTTTTTTTTAAACGGTACCAGCGGTGGAAAAAGTGACGCCACCTGGCAGGCTAACTGAGGGATGCTGTGCACCGTCCACACTCACAGTTCTGGACAGACTTTAGAAGTCAAACATTGGAGGTAACATCATGAAACAGTTGTTAGGTGTTACGCTTTATTTTTAAAACATAGCACTTTATGGATACATCTTCAGAGCTCCTTTCAGCCTCTAACATATTGGAAGCATTTAAACCGCTGCATCTTTAATTTGCTGCTCTGAGCTCCGAGTATGAAGCTGAATAATTAATGCTTTCAGCCGGGCTCTTTTGTGTACCACTGTTTCATTCGTAATGACATTTCTCTCTCCAGTCACTCTGTGCCCGCCCAGTTACCCTGAGGATCTCCGCTGATCTTTCTATAATGACTTCTCTATGGTGAAAACAGAAGTGTTCATATGTTTCATCACTTTTAAAAGCAAACATGAAAATAAAAAACGTGGAAAGAAAAAGCAATGACACCAAGAGAACAAGCATTGAATAGACAGTCTCTTTAAGAGAATAGAAGAACATAGAACAGCATAAAACAGCAAGAACAGCATAAAACAGAGGGGATGTAATCACTAACGAGTGCAGTGCTGATCTATGTAACTGTGTAAACAAATCAGAATGTCTTTAGCTGTTTAAATCTCATCTTATAGTGTCACAATTTCAAATGCGAGAAGGAAACATTTTTTTATTTTATTTTCATCTTTAAAGCCAGCAAAAAACAGCAGAGTGATCCCCGTCCCTCCGGTCACTCACTGAGGTTTACATCTCTTTAGTCTTTATCATGCTGCAGGAGACTCTGAGAGGACGTGCTCACAGTCTGTTGATGCACACACACACACATGAATCTCCAGCTGATCTTTAACTGCTGGTGTTTGTCACCTGCCTGTCCAACAGGAAGCAGACCAACTCCACGTCCACGTGTAAAAGCCAACACAAGGTTCACCCTCGTTTTATCCGCTTAGTGTTTCTCCTCACTCTGATTATACTTTCTCTTCTTCGCCGCTACGTCCACATCCGCCATATTAGCCAGTTTGAATCACGTCCAATCAGTGAATAGTATCCACTCCTTAACTCGCCTGCTTTGCTGTCATTGGCTGGAGGAAACACACCAGCTCCCCGCCCAGAAATGTCCAGAGTCAACCAGAACAAAGCAGAACAGTAAAATCCAGTCAGAGGACAGGCTCTATGCAGACACAGTCAAAATGCTACTGACTGGGGCGCTAGTGGCGCAGTGGTTAGTGTGCTCGCCCCATGCATGGAGGCTGTAGTCCTCCAATTGGGCGGCCCACTTGTGGCTCCATTCCTGCATGTCATACCCCACTCTCTCTCCCTGATTTCCATCTACTATCTCTCCATTAAAGGCACAAAAAGCCCAAAAATAAATCTTTAGAAAATGCTAATGACTGTATCTTTCTTTAACATATTGTAATTAATGCGAAGCGATATGAAAACACAGAAGTTAAGGGTTAAATGTATATATTTTGTGTTGCTGCTTTGTCTCTCCTCATTGTTGGATCTAGAATCCCTCGATACATCGTGGAGTCTTTTCCTCACGTGTAGGATGATGCTGTCTTGGGTTTTATTTCCATTCATTCAGTCGGTGTGTGTTTTTTTTTTTTTAAATTTAAAGAGACTGAGTTCAGATATCCAATAAACTCCCCGCTGCTCTCTCTGAATCATGTTTCACTCCAGAGCCAGAAAGTTGAGCTTCTTGTTTTTTTTTTTGTCTTTTTTTGCAAATATCTCCTATTGTGGGAGGCTTGGAAGGAGTATGTTGAATTAAAGAAGAAAATGTTTCAAATATGTGAGGCCAAACGATTAAGCTTGAAATGAAAACAACGTGGGATGAAAAAAAAGAAAAAAGAAAGAAGAAGAAGAAGCGAAAGATGCAAAGGACTAAGGAGTCCTGATGCAAAGGACTAAAGAGTCTTAGTGTGTGTGCATGTCTGCATGCAGGCGTGTGTGCACGCTCGACGGATCGGGATAATCATGTTTCAACGAGCTGCGGGCGTCTCTTTGTGCTGCTAAAGGTTATAAAATATCCCGTTCTGTGTGCGGCAACAATGGGCATCACCTTCCCTCCTCATCCCTCCCTCCTACCGTACACCTCTCCTCCTCCTCATTAAAGCGAGCTGTGCACACTTTCATAACATTTTTGATAGCTCTGCGGCACGTCAGGCCCTTAAGATCCGCCTCACAACAATTAAAACTGGTCTTGATGCGAGCTCGTTGCTGTTGTGCTGCAGAGTGCAGCGGCTTCACCGAGGGGGAAATCCTTTTTACCATTCAGAGTGAAGCATTAAAAAGGTGAAATTAGCGCTGTCCTCTGATTACTGTGTGCTGCACGACGCTTTAATCATTTAGCCCAAGCGAGAAAAGAAAAAATGTATTTCAATTTATGGGTGCCTGCTGAATGAGACGGGCAATCTGCAGACACATAATCACAGAGCCGACGTCGTGCTAATAAAGATGGTCAATAATGAAGACACACACACACACACACACACACACGTGCAGTTCGGTGTGAGGCGTTTGTTTCTACTCGCTGTTTGTGAAATTTCATCTTGAGAAAATGAAAGAAGCAGAGCCATTGGTGACGGAGGCGGGAGGATGTCACAAAACTACAAAAAGCTGATCAGAGGAGTTCAAATGCAAAGCTCAACAAATGCAAATGATCAGCAGCTCAGTCTGTAGGGACTGTAGAGGGTCACTGGTTCAAGTCCCGGTGTGAACCAAATCTGGACGTTGGTCTGATAGCACCAATACACCAAGTCAAATTCCTTGTATGTGTAAATGTACTTGGCAATAAAACCCGATTCTGATTCTGATTCTGGTAGCTGGAGAGATGCCAGTTCACTTCATGAGCACTGCAGATGTGTCGTTAAGCAAGGCACTGAACCCTCACAACCAGCTCAGGAGCGCTCGCTGTGGGCAGCCGGCTCATCTCTCCACTATGTCCTGTGTGTGCATGTGTGTGTGTTTCAGCCTGTGTGTGTGTGTGTGTGTAGCATGTTCAACAACAGAGAGTATAATTGAATTTCCTCTCACAGGATTGATAATCTTTATTGTCTTCTTCTTCTGTCATAATTATCCTACAACACCTGCAGTTTGTAACCATGAGGTTTGCAACTGTTTGCTTCACCTTGTTGTCTTAGAACAAACGGGGAGATATGCATGTGAACATGATGCATCGTAAAGACGCTCCATGTTGAAATCATTCTCCCATCACAAAGCCACTAACTGATCCTCGTCGTGCGTCCTCAGACTCCACCAAGAAGCTGAAGGATGTGCTGCAGGAGTTCCATGGAGACGGTGTGTTGGCTAAATACAATCCAGAGGAGGTATGTACAGTTTACACTCCGTTATACAACCCACAGTTTATAGTCTATTAAATACAGTCCTGACTGAAGCTCCCTCATAAAGCATCCCTCACTGCCTATAAACAAAAAACCAAACGTGTTCATTTCCTCCGCTAATCCGTCTGTTTTTTGTTGCTTCGTGTTTCAAATCTTAAAATCATGTCTGTAATGTGAAGTGAGTCCCTGAGGTGCAGAACACACAGTATACTATGGGCGCCCTAAGAGGACATGCATCTATACATTTTATTTTACACCGATTTCCTGTGAAATGGAGAACATCTTTTGTGATATCTCTGGATGCTGGTTTTCCTGTGATCATGAGTTAATCTCAAGCTTCAAACTGAAATGTTTCAGTCGTTCTCACTCAAGAAGTCAACTTATTTTAACAGCACTTTTATTAAATCAGGTAGGCGGCATCTGAGGCCGATGACTGCCAGGTGGGCGGGTCCATAAATGTTAAATGGACTTGAATTGTATAGCACTTTTCTAGTCTTCCAATTACTCAAAGCGCTTTTACACTGCAGGTCACACCTACACATTCACACACTGATGGTAACCGTCACTATGTAGTGTGACCATCAGAAGTAACTAATCCGCCTTAGCAGCGGGAGAAATTCGGGGTTAAGTGTCTTGCCCAAGGACACATCGGAAAATGTTACCCAGCTGGGGATCGAATCCTCAACCTTCTGGTTGAGACACAATCCTGACTCGAACTCACAGTTGCACATATCTGTATGCACACAAACACAAGATTACCAAGTGTTTTTTTTATTTTATTTGAAAAGAGAACAGTGTTTCCCACAGAATGACGCGATAACTTTTTTGGTTAAACCGCTCTCTGAAATTAACTCGCCAAGCGGAAAATCTACCCACATTCGGCGCTTGGCGGGTGTTAATTTCAGAGCCCCTTCTCTCTCTCTCTCTCTCTCTCTCTCTCTCTCTCTCTCTCTCTCTCTCTCTCTCTGAAGCTGATGTGATTCTGCTCTCTTGGTTTTGCTGTGTCTTATCTCTCCTTGCACACACCTGCACTCTCGCACTCTCTCTCTCGTTTTATGAATAAATAAAACAATTAAATTAAAAACAGGTCAGATATATACTTGGGCAGCCCGCCCAGCTATTGCTATGTGTGGGAACCACTGGAGAATGCATGTCAGCAGAAAGTCCCAGGAGCATCCTCCACGGTGTTAATTCTCTATGTTCATTGTCTGTGCATGAATGACTGTTGCATTCAGTCTGATTTGCCCCGACTCTGCCTGCAGCCCACATCAGTAAACATTACAAACCTTCAATGCAGTGACGACAAATCCAGAGTATTTCAAACTGAAAGCATTAACTCTAATTTACAAAGAACTGTCATTAATCCCATGTTGAATGTAATGACGTTATGACATCTGTGATCATGTTGGGTTTCTTTCTTTCTACAATGCTGCCGGTTTAGAAGCAGGAAATCCTCTGCCAGGTAACACCTGTCCCCTGTCTCTTCTCTCTCTAACTTGTTGTCGGTGTGTTTTGCAGAGTGCTCGTGTTGTTTCTCCTTGAATAACTCGACTTTTTGTTGGCGGTGAAGCGGTAAAAATAAGTGTGAAATAAGAAACAAAATGACTGCCTTTCTGCAGGAGGGGCGACTATTTTCCATGGAGAGATTACTCCTCCAGAACATCTTCTTTGAGGTGTGTTTATGGGTGAAACGTGGGAAATTCAGCTCACAGCTCAAGTCACCCTAACAATCCTAAAGATGGATGAAGCTGTCAGACTTAAAGTTAGAAAAACAGAGAGCGGAAAGGATGACAGCACATGAACGGTTTGCAAAAGATTAAAGCTGTAAAAACTTGGAAACCTTTCTGGTACGGCTTCACCTCCCGACACTTTGACACTTCGCAGCAATCTGCAATGTGGAATTGTTAAAAGATTTACCTCCAGTGGAAAAACAAACCAACTACTCTGTGAGGATCTTTATTCTCTTGAGGACCTTGAAGGCAACACCTGCAGCTCATTCTCTGTTTCTGCTGTGATTTTGTTGATTTCAGGAGATTGACTACGAGGGCTTCAAGGTGTTCATGCAGACGTTCCTGGAGAGCGAGCTCCCCGAGGAGTTCTGTCAGCACCTCTTCATGTCCTTTAGTAACAAGGGACCAGAACCCAGTCCATCATCTTCTGACAAGCCAAGGGTGTCTGGTGAGTGTAGAGGGAATCTGTACCCTAACAACCCCCGGTGTCCTAAACACGGATTGTTTTCGGTCGTGTGCGTAGTTACTGTCGGCTGCTGCACACCACCTTACTCCTGCAGCTTTTTTTAAAAACCAGCTGCTTCTCAGATCTTCTCCTGCGCGTTACTTTCTTTAGTGAGTAAAAGCTGCATCATTTCTGTTTCTGTTGAATGCATCAGATAAAAACAGATTCCCTGCCAAGTCCGGCCCGGTGGTACAAAATGTAAATTGTAGTGCCGAGGCTGCCAATAGTCTTGGCAGTGCTTTTTTGTTTGTTTACAACGTTTTGTACTGATGTCTCATGCTGGTGTGGTAATGGGTTACACATATTAAAAAGGTTTATGTAACACATCAGAGCAGTGCTGTTTGATTCAGATTTCTCCGACTGTGACGGTTGGCTTCTCGTGCGTTTGACTGCCTGGAATCTCAGGGGGGAAATAACGTCTCATTTAAGAACCTCTGGATTTAAAAACGACTTTTTGTGGTATCAATGAGCAGGGACACATGGGGCTAAAAAAAGGCCCTGGACTTTTTCCAAAATTTAGGCCCACAGTCCATACACGATTTTGTGTTTAAATAACCACTTGCCAGCGTTTCAAGATACTATACCACAAGCCTACTAGACTGAAGATATTTACAGATTATAACATTTCAAAATGAATGTGTTTATTTATAATAAAACTACAATAAAAAAAAAAGTATTTCAGAACACTCTCAAAGAAGGTAGTCTCCCTGTCATCTTTTGAGCTGCATCTATCTTCAGCCTGAATTAACAAATGATTTAAAATATATATATAGCCTATATATGTTGTTAGGCAGTATACATAGCCTGTTGATTGTATAACATCAGATGCTTAAGAATTAGTGGCTAGTACATACTAGCCAATCGGAGACAGAGTAAGGATCCCTTCACCATCTTAGGAAAAAATTGCAGCAAACTACTGAATATTGTCAATCATCCATGGTGTGAATCAAAGGAGAAGTGGGGATACTCTATGGAGACTGAAATATAAATGGGTATACTCCGTATACCTGCGCAATACCCTGCACTACACCACTGCTTGCATTTACTACATAAAAATATGTATTTGCAACAGTGTTAGTGAGAACGCCGTCTGCAGGATTGGCCGTCATTTATGTTGTTGTTGTTATTTCATACTGCTCTAATCTGTGCAAGGCGAGGTGGAACAAGCCAGAAGAAGCATGCAGCACGTTGCTGAAGACACATTAACGCCTCTGCAGAATATCGTCCGTTGTCCCAACAGAGCAGCCACCAGAGGGTAATCAGGTTCAGGAGTTTATTTTTAAAGTTATCATGTTGAAACCATTGAAGCCTTCCACCAAAGACAGTGACACTAACAATTAGTTAGCGAACATTAAAATAACTTTCAACATCGAGAATGCTGTCTCTCTCTCTCTCATGTCTCACAGCACGGCCCCGGTCGCCTGTTCACTGCAGGTTGTAGCAGCAGGCGGAGGTCATCTCCCGAGAGGTATGACGACTGTACGGCACTAGCTGAAAACTGCAGCCAGTTAGCCTGTCTCTGTTCTGTTTGATACAACAGCTGAGGCAGAGAGGACGAGGATGGTCGCCCTGGCAACCGTCCTGAACTGAATCCGCCCCCTGCCTGACCTGAGCCCGTAAACAGCTCATCACTGCGCATACAGAGGCCGCTCTATTACGCAACAATATGGACGCAAACACGGGTCAAGAAGTGGTGTTTTTGAGTGATTCCGTACTGGGAGCATTATTTGAGAAGGGGATAATTGTCCAATCGAGATACGCTTCCCCTGACATCATAAAGAACCGAGTACTACAACTTTCTCCCCATAATTAATATAAAGTTATTTTGTTCTGGTAGCATTATTTGACAGAGGATAAGGATAGCCTCTGCTGTTGTTTCACGCTGTAAGAGGTTGGCATTTTTTCAACATGGCAGCACAACTCGACAGAACACCGGCCATATCTAATAAAATATCAAGAATTAAAAACAACGAGATCAGTTTGAAACACAGCGCAGGGTTTAAACATTTAATCCAGAGTAGTTTTTCTGGGTTTTTTTAACAGACGCCCCCCACCGCTGATCGATGCGTCTGTATGACTCATGTCAGGCGTCCTGACCCAGCAGGTTGTTGGGCTAACATGAGAGGCGGTGTGGAGGATGTGTTGACCTTTCCTCTGCGTCTCCCCGCAGGGCTGAAGCTGATCAAAAGCAACTCTACCCCTCTGAAGACCCCCGCGCTGCCCAGACCTCTGGATATGGTGCAGCTGAAGGACATCGTGTGTTACCTCTCGCTGCTGGAGGGCGGGCGGCCTGAGGACAAGCTGGAGTGTGAGTGTCGCTAAAATACCACGAGTCTTTGCTTTGTCTGCTGATGTTCAACAGGAGGTCTGACGTTTGGCAGAATGTGGAAGGAGCGATATGTCCTCAAGCCAGGTTTTTGAAACCCTTAGAAAACATAAATAAGAAGATAAAAACACGGTTTAACCTTGGAGGGTGATGAGCAGGTATCAGAAGTGAGACTTGAGCAGAAAGATTTTTTTTAAAAAAGGGAGGGAAGAAGGTAATACCGTTAATCTGTTTCTTAGAAGCTGACCTTTCAGGTTTTAACAGCTGCAGCAGCCTTAAAGGGACAGTTCAGTATTTTTGAAGCGGGGTTGTATGAAGTGTTTGTCAGTAGTATATTAGCCACCGCAGATGCCGGTCAGCTCAGCCCCTCTGATGAGAAAACGGCTAAAAGAGCTAAAAAAAAGAACATTGGGCTAAATGTATGCTATATTGAAAAAATCACACTGGTTTACTTTTCCGCTGCTACGTTGCAACACAGGCCAAATAGTTGATTTGAACTTCAATCATCAGTCAATCCTTCCTTTTAGTCCTCTCGTTCCTGTTGTCCATCCTTCCTTGCCGCTGAGGTGGAGGTCGGAGCAGGCCGTGCAGGAATGAGGACGGCGGTGTTTGTGAGGACGACACAGTCTGATGCTGACGTAGGGTGGTAGTAGTGCCCGATCACCTCGCCGAAGGTTAAATCATGCCTTCAGTAAGGCAAATAGCCAATCATAGTTTGGTATTTTGGTGCAGCATCTTGGGTGGCCAATCAGATTTAATTGGGGCCCCCCGTCCAGCCCTGGACATGCCCCTGCTCCCAGGGTCTCTGGGGTCGAGTGTAATAGATACTGATGACCATGATGACGATATTCAGGATGTTTTTAATGCTGATTAAAACTCTCAAGAACAGCTGTCGATGTTGTGCTCTGCCCCTGGTCACTTCCTGTAAGCACCTCTGGTCACTTCCTGTTGTCAGCACCTGTGAGTCCCATCATCCCATCTTAAAGCTGTTTGTTTGCACTTCCTGATGTCAGTTTCTCCTCTTGACTTGTGTTGTACTTACTTTCTGATGTACGTCGCTTTGGATAAAAGCGTCTGATGAGTGAATTGGAGAAAAGGTAAACTCAGCAAAATGTCAGGGGGCGGGCTGTCCAGAAAGCTTTTAGAAGTTTTCAGGAGTGCATGAAGTGGATGAAGGGGCTTTAGGAATTCAAAGTCTGGCCTGATGAATGAAATGTTCCTCTCTGCTGGTCGGTGATTTGAATCCTCTGTGTGGGTCTTTTTTCTCCCTCTCTCCAGAATTAATCAAAGTTGTTATTTCTTTGTTTTTCTGTGAACTTGCTGGTTCACCTGGAATTCAAATCCAAGGTTGGAAGCGCTCCATATCCTGCTCCCTCTTCATTTAACAGGCTGAGTGTGAAATCTACCTTTTTGAACTTGGACTACACTTTCTCTATCGAAAGTTTTGATTTGCAAAATAATTCCAAAATAAATTAGATAAATGAATCCACTCGTGAAACAGCTATTATGTCCAGTTGCCGAGTCCAAATATCTGCCACTGTGTGAATCATTATCTCCGAGAACACCTGCGCAACACCTCTTTATCACACCGGGAGATGATTGGCTCTACGCTCGTCAGGTGTTTGTAAAGGACACAAATGAATAAAGCATCTATTTGTCATCCCTCTTTTTGACTTCTCACTACTCTCTCTGTCAAACAGAGTTCTGTATTTGCGATCGCACTTCAACTTCTTATCCGAACTAATGAGGTTTTCATTTGTCGAGCTTCTTCTTGCCTTCAGAAACATCGAGCTCTGAGAAATCCAGAGTGTGAGGTTAACATGACAGACTCGAACAAGCACAGAGTCTCGATCAGACAGCGTGTTCTTTACAGGCTCCATTAGAGGGACGGACATCAGGTTTTTTTCTAAGCAATGCTACAGATCCCAAAGTCTTCTATAAAGTAAATGAACTCGAGTTTGTATATTCACTTTTACACCACAGGTCACACCTACACATTCACACACTGATGGCAGAGGCTGCTGAGTAAAGAGTCCATCAGAGGCTACAGACAAGTTTTTCAAGCAAGTTTCAGACGGGTTTAAAGTCAGTTATTCTTATTCTTCTGTCTTTTTAGAGGCGGTTGGCATCCAAACACCTTGAGCAAGGCATCTGACATATCCGTTTTGGACGCCCCTCGGTTTGCCAGACATGAGAGCAGTTATCAGGTCAAACCAACAGGTGTTGCAGCGATGGAAGCGTTCAAGAGAAGTGGTTCAGATAGAAGTGATTGTACCCGACCTAAAAAGCTCTGCATGTTTCTAATAAGCTCCACGAGCAGAAACGTGCTCAAACTAGGATCAATATTGGAGATGATTTTAAAAAATGGAGAGAGGTTAGAACGCAGAAAGGTTTTCAGACCGATGCAGAGCTGACTAAACACTGAAGCTTCAGTGTCCAACACATGGCAACCTGTGTGAGCATCGACTCTAGAGAGGAGGGGGCGGGGGGAGACAGCTCTCTATGATGTTTAGAATTTGGACTGCAGTACCCATTTTAAACACTAGGTGTCAGAGTTACATACTGCTCCTTTAAGTTATAAAAGATTTTTCAGCCGACATGGTGTCTGATCTTTTCTAGATTCAAAGTTTCAGCTTGTCTTCATGTTGATCTTCTTCATCTCACTTCTTAAGAACGCCGTGTCTGTTGCCGTGTGTTGGCAGTGTTTCGACGCATCTTCCCACATCGCTTAACTGCATTTATCACATCATTTATTCACACGCA